GGAACATTGGGGGCTGTGACCCCCAAACTGGGAGAGTGGCTCCAACAGATCCCAGGAACAACATCTGAGATCTCTGTCCAGAAGAGTGCAGTGCTATTTTAATTATATTTTTATATTTTATATATATTTAATTTATATTAGGTAGCACTAACATGAAGCTCCAAATCAGTCCACTCTGCTTTGCCCAGCACTCCCTGCTCAACTACGATCTGCTACACTCAGACACACTCTGCTCTGCTCTTCAAATATTTGTCATTATGAAATTACAAGTAATGAGAATGCAACAAAACTTATTGACCAAACAGAAATAATTGAAAATCTCTGACTGCGTAGACACAAAACCTTTTTAGAAGCTAAGATCTCTGCACTGCTGCCAGTACTGTTCAATGAGTTCGGGTCACAGGAGGCTTTGACAGCACCTCTCCACATTAGGTTTTGAAACATAAATAACAAAAACAAAAAAGTTGCATACTGTAGCTTTTAAATTGAATTTACATGTTTCTTACAATGTCAAGAAAAGTTAAACATTTTCACCTTGATAAAAGTAGAATTTATGGCAGATATTATATAAATGAATTGAATAAATTGGCCCATAAGATATCTTATTTTGATGCTCACTTTGGTTATTTTTCCTTTGTTTACAAAAAGAAAAGCAAGAAAAAGGTGTTAGATCATAAAACAGGAGAAACAAACCAAAGACTACAAAGATAAAACAGTCCTTCCTCAACAATGCCTTAACAGAGAATCACCTCTTTTGCAGTACAGTGCCATTGACCCAGGCCCATGTGCTTTCTCTTTTTCTCAACCCAATCCAGTGAAACCCTTCCCCCTTTATAGTCAGAAACTCCTAGAAAACAGAGCAGCATTCACACAAATATAATATGAAAGTTATTACCATTTTCATTAACTGCATGCTTATATTGCAAAGTCTGGGAATGATGTGAGTGGGATCAGAGTTTATGTGAGATCAGATCAACCTGAACTTCCTGGCTGGTGATGACAGCCAAAGATCCTCCTCTAGATGTGCAGTTCCTCTGGCTCTTGTCCCAGTTCAGCCTGTAGGTGGACAAGTAAAAACATGATTGGCCAAAAGTCAGCCAACCATCTGAGCACCGCTTATGGCCGGGATCTGGGAAGAAGGGAGAGAAACCCAGTATGTAAATATCTAACATGAGGAAAACACTCTGCGAATGTCAACTAAATTATTGTTCAGATGCCATTGAACCTTTAAATAATTGCAAGCAGCCTAAAAGGTTTCAATTACCTTTGTTCTTCATTTTGTATTTATTTGCATTTGTCCATAATTGTGTAGCATTTCTGAATGTTTGCACATGTATGTGTCCCTATGTAATCAGGAAATCACTCTAAGAGGAATTAATAAAGCTGATGAAACTCAACTGAATGTTGATTTAAATTTAAAAGATGTTTGTTTCTCTTGTTCATGGTTTTCTATATTGTACTGTATTGTACATTACCCTCAGGTCTGAGTTGAATGCTGGGGAAGCGATCCTTGCATTGCTCATAGCTGCACCCTCTCTCTGTTTCTGCGCACACAGTGGATCCAGTTTGGACTAGAAAGCAGAGCACAGTAGGAGGAGATGTGAGGGGGAGAATAATGCCCACAGGCTGCAGCAGTGCAACCGGATACACGCTGCATTCCTGTATCATCTGTTATTATCAGCCAAAACAGAATAACATGCATAGTGATGATGATTCCCAGCATATATTTTACACATTATTTTGCTTCTCCACTGCTTTAGTGTTACAATCATAATCCAACCAGCTGTAGTTTGTTTTTACAGTGACCCATGGCTGCAGATGCTCACGTTTCACACCAAGGATAATGACGACCAACAGCAGGACCAGGCAGATTGATATTAGTAAGAAACACCCAATACGGTACAGACGTACATTTCCCTTGGACTGTTTGCCTGAGGAGAAACACATCAACCAAGATGTTAAAGAGAGATTTCAATAACCACAACACAAACCACCATCAAGGCTGAAAGATCAGCTCCAGCTTACCTTTCTCCCCATCCAGTTGACTTCATCTTTCTTATCCTCACCATAAATGCAACAAAATTTGATGTATGTGGACAAAACTGTCCTGGGATTTGTGAGGAAGCTTATTGAGCCTGTCCTGCTGATTCACGTCTGCCTGTAACTGCACAGTTTTAAGATGCCTCCCTTGTCCCTTTCACATGTCTTGTCACCATAGCAACATGGCCTTCACTGATTCCTAAATAATTCATGGGGAACAGTGCTCAAATTGTCCTTGAACTTTGCTAAACTTTAGCTCTATCTCCCTTGGTCTCTCTCATTAAGAATGAGTGTGTGTGTGAGAGAGTGAAACAGACACTGACAGATACTGTGAGCCTGGTGACTCTACACTCCAAAACAGCAGACAGGAATTCTTCCTTGAGGTCATTTAAGACCAGTGTTTATGTCAAACACTGTTCAGAGAGAGAACATAAAGTCTCCATTTATGCAGATTTGAAACATCACTTTATAAATATGTGATTAAAGTGCATGAATTTGTGTGTCAAGGGGGGAATCACACTCAGGCAATTGCATTTCTACTGGAACCTCAAAAATATAAACCAAATACTTCTCATTCTTTTAATAAAAAACAGCATCAAGCAAAAGGGTAAAAACTTTATTTTACTAATAAAACAATCATTTTAGTTTATGTGTGAATCACTATGAAGATGAGAGCATTGTCATTCAAAACAGTAAAACACCTGCTGTCATTGTTTTCTTTCCTTTCTAAATTGGCCCAGTGTAAGAAAACAAGACATAAAACATATGTAAAGAATGGTGGATGTGTCAGATTGTGCAGACATTATGGCACAACAGCAAAACAGTGCACGATATTGGCTGATACAGTTACAGAGAAGCTGTCAGAGACTGCATGTTCATCAAGTGCAAGATAAATTGTCACTGTTTTCTAACAAAACATGATAAACAACTGTATGCCTGCCTAAAAACCAGTTTTGAAAATGTACATATTTAGTTGGACAATGAGTTGTGTTAGGCATTTTAACAAACCTGTATTCAGGGCGTAACATAATACTGTGTCTAGTGCAACCAGCACTGTGACTGCTTGCCAGCTGGATTAAGAGTATGTAAGTATGTATGAAATAAATATAAAATTTTAAACCTTTAATTTTTAAAATGTCACAAAATCAGTAATTAAGTATATGTATCTTCATTAGTCTGTGAAGATCTTTTATTATTAATGGTGAAGCCCTTTAAAAAACAATAACAGTTAACATTTCAACTTTGCTTTGATGATAAATTGTAAATATACTGTAGTGACAGGTTATATCAGAGGCTCAAGAAGAGCCAGGGTCTGTCAGAGGTTTGTTCTGTTAATGGGAGTTTTTTCTCCACGCTGTTGCCAAGTGCTGCTCAAGGAGGATTTGTTGGATTTTTCCCTCAATAATAATAATAATAATAAGCTCTAGACCTCACTTTGCAAAGTGTCTTGACATGACTTTTGTTGTTACTTGTCGCTATATAAATAAAACTGAATTGAACTGAATTGAACATTGAAACTGTAGGAGAAGAACATTATTTAGGCCTGTTGGTCAGAAAGTCCAGAATCCAGTTACAGAGGGAGGTGGTAGAGCCCAGGTCTCCAAGTTTGGTGGTTAATTTGGAGGGGATGACCATGTTAAATGCTGAGCTGAAGTCCATGAACAGTATTCTTACGTAAGTATTGTTATTGTCCAGGTGTCTGAGTAGTGAGTGCAGTGCTGTGGAGGCTGCATCCTCCATGCTCCTATTCCTGCAGTAGGCAAATTGGTCGGGGTCCAGTGTGGGTGGGAGACAGGTCATCAGGTGTGCCAGGACCAGGCGCTCGAAGCACTTCATGACAATGGGTGTGACTGCTACAGGCCGGTAGTCATTCAGGCACGTTGGGGTGGAATATTTTGGCACTGGCACAATGGAGGTGGTTTTGAAGCATGTCGGCACAACTGCTTGGGTGAAGGATAGGTTAAAAATGTCTGTAAAGACGCCAGCAAGCTCTCCAGCACATGCCCTGAGCACATGTCCAGGAATGCTGTCAGGGGCAGCAGCCTTGCATGCATTGATCCGGCTCAGTGCAGCAAAACACGTCAGTGGAGGTGAGTGTGAACGGCTACAGTATATTGTAAATATACTGTAGTGACACATTATATCAGAGGCCCACCAAGATCTGGGGTCTGTTGGAGGTTTCTTTTGTTAAAGGGAGTTTTTCCTCCCCGCTGTCGCCAAGTGCTACTCAAGAGAGATTTGTTGGGTTTTTCCCTCAATAATAATAAAAATAATAATAAGGTCTAGACCTCACTTTGCAAAGTGTTTTGAAATGCCTTTTGTTGTTGTCACTATAGAAATAAAACTGAATTGAACTGAATTGAATCCAAAAACTGAGAAAAAAACTTTTAGAAATAAAATAACATTGAAATTATAAGAGAAGAACATTATTTAGGGTATTAACAATATTATGACTATTTGGAGGTTTTTATTGCTTTTCAAAAATAACTTAAATGTGTCATTGTGGAAAATAGAATTGATGCTATATTTGTATATTTTTGCATTCATATAATACAAAACAAAATCTTAAATGTACTGTTTAAGATGCATTTTTAGGGTGGTTGGATTTTTTTTTTTTTTTTACAAGAAATGATATAATTTAACAGTGACCCGACTCGGTCCCCCAAAATGATTTTTATTTTATATTTGTATATTTTTGCATTCATATAATCCAAAACAAAATCTTAAATGTACTGTTTAAGATGCATTTTTAGGATGGTTGGATTTTTTTTTTTTTACAAGAAATATTATAATTTAACAGTGACCCGACTCAGTCCCACAGCTTCTCCAAGAATCACTGTCACTTTACAATTCATGGTTAGAGCGTTTCACAAAAATTGCTAATGTGGCATTTTGCTCAACTTTCTTTTTGAAAGTTTTCTAAGAAGGAAGTCATAAATTCTTATAAACTGCTGTTGTTTATATGCAGCAGCATGGAGACCATAATGATGAGACACATTTGTCAGTAATGTAGGCAAGGAGTGCAACAAATGCTTTTTAAATTGAAATTGAAATTTAGTTAATGGGAAATATAATGAAGCAGTTAAACAATATTTATAATGTTATTATTACAAAAAACAAACAAAAAAAACAGTTTTCTTTTTCATCAGATATGTAGGTGTGCTAGGAGACATTCTGAAACAGTCTCTGTGTGGATCAGTCAATCACTGAACAGATGTCATATTTTAAATAAAAGTGTACCTGCTATTGGTATTAATGGTGCACTGCCAAAACAGGCTTCAGAATAGA